TATTATCAAAATCATTAAAACTTTTAAGACTTATCAAAACTCATTAAAGTTTATTAAAATTTATTAATATTATTGAAACTGTTAAATAATTTTGAAAAAGTTTTAACTTTGTCAAAATAGATTTAGATAAGTATATTTAAAAATTAAAAAATTAAAAAATTGTTATATATTAATAATTATTAATTTTAAAATTTAAAAATAATATAATTAGATATAATTTAATATAATAAATCTAATAAATTTTATATCATTTTTTTTTTATAATTATTAGATACTAAAATATTATTATTTTTTATGATGCAAGAAGATTATACTTAAGAATATAAATATATCACTTAAAAATCTTTTAACTCTTTAAAAAAATAAAATTTAGAAATATAAACTAGTAACTTTATTCTTTGAGATAAGTTCTATTAAATTACTGACCAGTTTTTCAAAATAAATTCTATATAAAAAATTATAGGTATTTAAAATTAGATAATTTCATATGATCATTCTGAATTTGAAATATATATTATTAATTAAAATTTATGATAATTCAAGTTAGTATTATAGTAATTAATCATATTAATTTGAATTATTAAAATTTTAAAATGATGTATAAAATAAATGATTAATATCTTATTTTTATTGATTAATTTTTAATTATATAATATAAAATTCACAAAATATTTTGAAATATTATTGAATTAAGACTTTTAGCATCATACATTTTATATCAATTTTATATCTACAATTTAAAGGATAAATAAGATAGGTTGAATGTTAGCTGATTTTTAATGTATACTAATTAGCTAGGTTAAATTTAGCTGACTTTTGATAATTAGGCTGATTTAGACTGATTTATTATATATTCAATTCTTGATTTGACTAGTATATAAAATTATTGCTCTTTAATTTAAATTAGTAAATAAATTAGATTCAAATATTTTAGATAAATCAGAATCTATTATATTATTAATACTTTTAAGATTTTGATGTAATATAATTATTTTATATTTTAAATCAATAATAGATCTTCTAAGCTCTTAGAAAGAATAAAAATTTTCCTTTATTATTATTTTTATTACTTAGAAAAAAAAATATAAATAAATAATATTGTATCAGTAATTTAACTTACATGTAATTATTAATTACATATTTTTAGCACTCATTTTATATATAATTTCAAATATAAAATTTAGTATTTTAACTGGCTAGAATTAACGAATTTGAAATGTTTTTTTGCACATCTAATCTGCTTACCTTTTCTGCTGCTATTTATTATTTATTTACAAAATCTTTATTAATTCTTTATAATATATTTATAAAATTTAAAACATAAATACTAATTCTCTTTAAAATATATTTATTAAATATTTAAGAGTTTCATTAATGATAAATTTGTAATTTAAATTATTTTGATACGTAACAATCATATTTCTATAAAGTATTCTAGATTATTTCTAACTTATGCTATAAAAATTCAAATATTTAGAATTATTATAAGAATCAATTCTTCCTAAAAGGTTAAGGTCTACAGTTACAAAAATTTGATCACGATGAAATTCAAACTGAGAAAAAAAATTATCACAAGCGAATTAAGAAATGAATTCAAAAAATAATAATTTTTTTTTTTTGGTTCTAATCTTTTTTTATTTTTAGGAAATCGTAATCATTAGCATTAATTACTATCTTCAAGTACTTGGTAAGTTTTGCGAAGGTTTATTTTTTTAAAACTTTTGAACTTCGCTATTCATACAGTAAATGGAGATGGGACGCATGTGAAATTATCAATCATAATTTTATAAAAACATTGTTTACCTTTGGCTAATAGTTTGCTAAAGAATTTCGTCAAAATAAAAATTTGGTTGTCTTTTGAAAATAGTGGAGTTTAATTCTAAGAATCGACTCCGATCCCAACGGTTAAGAAGTTTTGAATTCAAACTGAGATGATTAAATAAATTTTTGCAAAGTATTCTTGAGCAAGTTTATCAATGAAATATTTATTATTCATTCGTTATAAAATTTTTTAAAAATTATCCGTGCATTTTGAACTTACCGTTACTCGAAGATGAAATCGCGAGCTAAAAAATAAAAAAATTTCTTAATTCTTTCACGTTTCTGGAAGTGCAACCGGTTCAGAAGCCTTTGCCCCGTGAGAATATGACTTCTTACCAAGTCACTCATTCCCATGTAATCTTTCCTTTTAACCTTCCACGCTGATGTTCAAACTTTTCTTATTGGATAACGATCGTGTAGAGAAGACCGAATATGTAAATTCACAATTTACAATATAAAGACATGTTTGCAATTACAATGTTTCATATTTCTTTTTTTTTTTTTAAAAAAAAAAAAAAGGGTTTAAAAATGTTGATGATAGCGTTGAAATTTTACTTCTTTATTGAACAAAAATTTTTTCTTTAATAACTTATCAGAGAACCTTATAATCTTCAAAGAACCTTGTATAATATGATAAAGTAAGGAAATTCTGATTAATAAAATATGCTCGCCAAATGCTAGCTGCGCACAGGAAAAAAAAAAAGAAAAAACGCGACTACTGGTTTTTTGGAAAAAAAAAATTATTTTTTTATTTATTATTTTTTTTTTTTGACATGTCGTTCTTTAACCTGCACCTAATTAACACGAGACCCTCTTAAAATGAAAAGGGAAAAAATCAAATTTTTTTTTAATAAACACTAATAAAGATTTAAAAATAAAAAACCTAAAAATAATCATTATGATCGATCCTTAAATTGCTTGGATACGGTCGATCGCATTGTTCTAATTTATTTAGCTTTTTTATACAAAACGTTTTCCCTTGAAATTCAAAGTGTATTTGTCTATTGAATAAAAAGGAAAAAAAAAAAACGCCGCCATATGATGTGTTTACTGCGGCGATAATCTTTTTTTTTTTTTTGAATTTGAATAAGTAAAAAAAAAAAGGCTTTTTTTTTTATCACTAAATAAAGGATAACAATGATAATGACAGCCATTATTTCTTTTAATATTCGCAGACTAAATTATAGTTGGATTAGGGGATTACTTCTCATGGGAGTTTTTCTCGTTCGAAAAAAAAAAAAAAAAAAATTACAATCTAATTATCGATCCCCCACAAAAGGTTTCTTTAGCTAATTGGAAATTGAGATGTCACGAACCACATAAATTCTATACAATAGGTATAACACATCACTATAAAAATACCAAATAAAAAAACCAATTATAATAACAAGACATAATAATAACGAAGCGATTCTATCAAATGTATTATTATAGTCATCGTCAGATGTTGTATCAATTTTCCTTTTAAGTGGTGTCTGAATAAGATCAATGAAAATCAGATTGATCATTCATATCTTGCAACAAGAAAAACAAAGAGTGATGAGATGAACTTACGATTACAGTTGCATCTCGAATTTCTATGGTGGAACCATGAATAAGATTTGAACTTGATTTTGGAATTTCTTGGAATCGTTCCTTAAACTTGTTTCTCATCTCAATATATTCTATTGGTATGACTACTCAAAAAAAAAAAAAAAACAATGTCACAACATAATTATGATAAAAAAAAAAGAATGTGAAGGAATTTTGCAAATACGTACAATCATTTTGGTATGAATTACCTTTACTAGTATTATTTGTGAAATTAAAATCCATATTAAATTAAAAATTTTTTTTTTCTTTCAAAGAACAAAAGAAAAGGAAACTTCATTTTAAATAAGATTTTATTGTTTTGAACAATGCATTACGATGTCACTTACCCATGACATTTGCATTAAAAGAAATGCATGATAAAGCTAGAAATTGATCATATTGCATGGATATCTATTTTCCACTGTTGTTTGATGATGCAATCCCTGTCGTTGAAACAAATTTCGCACAGATTCATCTTTTGTTTCATAAGATTCAAATATAAGGAAAAATCTTAAAATTTCTTTATTGTCGTTGCGCTTTTTATTTTTTATTTTCTCGAAAGAAAATTCGAAACTAAAATGGTTATATATACTTATTACACCGCATGATTCATGAAATGATGGGCTGCTTTAGCATTGTCAATGGGAACCGGTTTTTAAACATGTAAGTTTAATTATTTTGCCACTACCTATGTCAGTATTAGTATACGCCAAATGAAAAAAAAATTCCCGCACACAGGAAAAATCAAACATAAATCGGGAAAATCAAAAAAAAAAAAAAATCATAACAATTTTCCACTATGAAATTCCCTAATTCTTGTTAATTTTTGTTATACATTTTGAAAAAAAAAAAAAAAAAAAAAAAAAGTTTTTATTGGGTGTGTAACCTTTACAAATTAAAATTTACGAAAAGAAATTAAAATAACAAAAAAATAAAAATAAAAAAATAAATAAATACTTTATTCTTAAATCTATTTTTAACTTATTGTAAAAAGTAAACAAGTCTCGATTTGCATGTGCTTTTTGGTACACGCCAACTCAAACCTCATATTAACCAGTTGTAAACATAATCTTTTCATCAAGAATTGTTGAATCAAGTAATCATGATCTATAGAATCCTACCAAATGTACTTTAGTTAATTTATATTTTGAAAAGATGAACAAAAGGAAAAGGAAAAAAGAGAATATTTAATTTATCTTTTTTCACGTTAAATCAGAAAATGAAATTTCCTTTTTTTTAACAACTTATTCTAAAAAAAAAAGGAGGAATTCAAAACAGATTATTTGGCTGAAATCAAAGTATTATTTTAGATTCTATTTTTATTATTATACTTTTGTACTAAGACTCTTGAAATTTCTTTTTGAAAAAAGTTAGACACGGGAAATAATGATGTAATGTACACTTAAATTACAATGAGAAATTCAGTGAAAAAGGATTCTTCTCAAAAGAAAGTGAATTGTTATAAATACGAGCAGATTCAAACGACAAAATTCGACATTTCAGAACAACGTTCATTTCTGAAATAAGAATAAATTCAGTAGACCTTTTTTTGTAATAATTTTTCTTCTCTCAGTAGACCAAAAAAAAACAAATAATAATAAATGATGATGCTTATCAAAGGTGCTATCCTTGTCATCGCCCTCTTATCTTCACTCGTCATCCATGCTGAGGCCGAGGATTGTAAATCGACCACGTATTACAAAAAATATGAAACCTACCCAGTCTACAAGACGGATTACAAGTACGTGACCGTTTATAAAACGGATTACAAGACCTACCCGGTTTACAAGACGGACTATAAGTACGAGACCAAGTACAAGACCGAGGTTAAATACGTCACCAAAACTGATTACAAAACTGATTACAAGTATGAAACCAAAACCAAGTATGCTACTTATCCCGTCTACAAGACCGATTACAAGACCGAATACAATACAGTTTACAAGACATATTACAAGACCGATTACAAGACAGACATCAAGTACGAGACCAAGTACGAGACCAAGACCAAATACGAAGTCAAGACCAAATACGAAGTCAAGACGAAATACGATGTTGAGACTAAATACAAAACCATTCCAGTCTACAAGACCGAATACAAGACCGAATACAAGACCGAATACAAGAAAGTGGATAAACATGATGACAAAGAGAAATCCTATTAAGCTGGTGATCCGCGAACTAATTGCTTCTTTTTGGAAAAAGGGGAGTTGAAGGGCCTCTAATTTCTCTTTTATAAACTTTTTTTTTTTTTCTATTTACTTTTAATTTTTTCTTGTAATCAGTTGTTTATCATATTAATAGTAGTAATAGGTGTTAGAAAATGTTGTAGTTACAATTTAGTTAGTTCTCTACGAAGAACCAATTCTAATTAGATAATGAAAGAAAAAAAAAACTAAATATTTCTGAAGCTATATAAACCAGTTGCTGAAAATACACTTTAAATAATACCGATTACTTATATAAATAAACAAAATAAATTCGTCATTTATTAAAATATTAAACGTGATTATACATTTCATGTTGTTTTTAATCTCTTTCGAATTTTCGTTTGCCAATCGTTCCCAAATTTTTGGTTTCGATAGAATTATTGTTTTTCTACTTGTGAAGATCATCCCCAAAAATGGTCAAGTAATGTTAATGCATTGATCGCGTTGTAAAGTTGGTTGACGCGTTTAATCTTTTTTTTTTCGAATTTACTTTGTCAAAATGCACTTAATAAAGCCTAGCTGGCTTGCTCATTTAGGTCAATAACTCGATCATTTTTTTCAGATATTAAAGTTAGTCGCTATTCATTATAAGACTGATAAAGGAAAATTTTTTTCTAGATAATAAAAATCAAAGAACTTCGATTTTCTCAATACACGTACATCCTGACGGAACTATTATAGCGACTGGCGGACTTGGTAGGCCTTTTAGCCTATTTGTAGTCTTTTAAAATCGAGTACATGTTATAAATTTCCGTGTAATTTTAGATAATAAGATCAAATTATGGAATACTTTACCTATAATTGATGGTAGCAAGGCCCTCGATCCTAACGTTCCAAATTTATTGTGCACCTTGGCCTTACATAATGGTTCGTTACGTTTATTTTGGTTTCTAATATTTAAAATAAACTATTTAATTATTTTTTACAGGTTCAGTTCTCTGTGTAAGATGGTCTAACAGAGATGGTCGTTATTTGGCATCGGGTTCAGATGATCAACTTTTATTCATTTGGGAATGGGATAAGTAAGGAAATCATTCCATTGTTAATAATCATTTATTATAATCATATTTTTTAAATCGTTCATATTTTTAGATCAACTGGTGATCGTAACGGTGAAGACGTTTTTGAAAGCGAAGAACGAAGCATCGAGAATTGGAAAGCTGTACGTCGACTTACAGGACATCAATCAGGTAAAATAGTTTTATATCGTGGACTGTTCTAATATTGAATTTAATATATTCATTTATTAAAGATGTTGTGGACCTTGCGTGGTCAAGAGATAATACTTATTTGGCCTCATGTGGATTAGACAATTTAGTGTTCATATGGGATGGTGTAACATTTGGTAACCGAGTCATTATAATTGATTTAAAAAATGTAAAAATTTTATATTCATCAATTGAATTTAATTTTGTAGAAAGGTTACATAAATTAGATACGCATCAAGGATTTGTCAAAGGTGTAACTTGGGATCCCGTGGGCGAATATCTTGCGACCGAGGTAATCCACATGTTTTTTTTATGTTCCAACTTCAAAACATTGGTTATTGGTATTGAAATCCTTCAAATAAATTTGCACAGTCAGATGATAAAACCGTCAAAGTTTGGAGAACATCGGACTGGAAAATACAAGCCGAAATCAGCGAACCATTTGCAAGTTCAACCTCAACGACATTTTACCGTCGATTAAGGTGATTTTTTTTTTCTTTTTATTGATAAAATCCTCTTCAATAAATCAAGGCAACATTGATTTTATGCAGTTGGTCTCCGGATGGATCACATGTTGCTACTGCTAATTGTGCACAAGGGTCCGTTCCGGTCGCTGCAATATTTAATAGAGGTGAATGGAAACCTGATGTTTCATTGGTTGGTCATGACTCTGCCATTGAAGTGGTGGTATGTATTAATGACATCCTTTGCTTTTTTTTTAAAAAAAAAAAATTTAAAAAAATAATTAATTATACTAATTATACTTATCTAATGATATAGTCGTTCAATCCAGTTATTTTCATGATACCCGAGAGCGATGACGTTAATCCTGATCCTGAATCTGCTGGCGTTGACAGTATATGTGCAGTAGGAAGTCAAGATCACAGTATTTCTGTGTGGGTGACTCGGAATGCGCGACCTTTATTTGTATGTCAAAAACCGTTTGATCATAGCGTTTTGGATCTAGCATGGTAAGATTTAAGCTATTATAATCATCATCGCACCTGTAATGATTTAAATTGTTTAATTTAGGTCACCTGATGGTACGCACCTTTACGCTTGTTCGTATGATGGTACCGTGGTGGTCTTACAATTTCTCAATAATGAATTTGGAACACGATTGCCATTGGAAGAACAAGTAAGTTAAACTCTGTTTGTTAAAACATTTTTTTTTTGCAATTAAGTAATTATATTATTTATTAGGACAAAATTCTTGCCAAGTATGGAAAGATCCCATTATCCTAGAAAATACAGCTAATTTTTCTGTGAAAAGAGCACTTTCTGTAAATAAAAATTCGTCATCGGAGAGTTTCTAAAATTAAATTATGAAGTGATCATTATGCCAATCATATTTAAAATAATAATGATGATGATGATAATGATATTAGAAAATTTTGGATTTAGTGGACTTTTAAAGATGAGACGTTGGGTAATTTGATGTCGGTCACAGAATTTTTTTTTTTTTTTTTGGATAATTTATTCAATTGTAAATTTGTAACTTTATATAATTCAAATTTAAGGATTAAAAATTTGTACATTTATCAACTATTGTAAATTTCCCGTGACGTGGTTTAGTCTCTACTTTGTTTCACAAACGTTGATCCGATTATCAAGCCACGTTTTGTTGGGGTTACAAGAACTTGTGTAAAAGTGGATAAAATATAAAAAGGATTATTTTAATGCAAACTTTCCGTTCGCGTTGTAAAGTTGACGCGTATAATCTTTTTTTTTTTTCGAATTTCGTTGGAGCTTTTATACATTGTTAAAATGCATTTAGCAAAACCCAGCTGGCTTGCCCATTTAGGTGAATAACTCTTTAAAAGTATTTAAGTTAATCACATCATTATATTCTAATCTCTAATAAAAAAAACAAACAAACCAAAAAAAAAAATATATATATATCTCTTGCTAATTCTTCTAGATGACAAAAATCAAAGAACTTCGATTTTCTCAATACACGTACACCCTGACGGAACTAGAATAGCAACCGGTGGACTTGGTTGGTTTTTATTCCATTTTTATAATCTTTAATATTTCAAGCGAATTCACGAATTAAGCTTTATTAATAATTACTTAAGGCAAGAAATTCTTATAAATACACTACAATTTCTAAACTTTTGGAAATTAACGTGTAATTTTAGATAATAAAATCAAACTATGGAGTACTTTACCAATAACTGATGGTAGTAAAGCTCTCGATCCTAATGTTCCAAATTTATTGTGTACCTTGGGCTTACATAATGGTTCGTTACATTTGCATTTGGTTTCTATTATTTGAAATAAACTAATTAACGCGATTTATTGATTGATTATTTTTTCAGGTTCGGTTCTCTGTGTAAGATGGTCTAACAAAGATGGTCGTTATTTGGCATCGGGTTCAGATGATCAACTTTTATTAATATGGGAATGGGACAAGTAATTAAATTTATCGAATTTCCCGTTGTTTGTTAAAATCATTTATTTAATGATGTTTTTATGCTAGATCAACTGAAGGTTGGGCTGGTGGAAGCGTTTTTGGAAGCGGTGAACAAAACATTGAGAATTGGAAAGTTATACGTCGTCTTACAGGGCATCAATCAGGTATATAGTTATTGTCTATTGATTCATATTTTCATAAAATGTTAAATTAACTGATATATTTTTTATTTAACTAATGAAGATGTGGTGGATCTTGCGTGGTCAAGAGATAATACTTATTTGGCCTCATGTGGATTAGACAATTTAGTATTCATATGGGATGGTCGAACATTTGGTATGCGAGTTATTTATAATTGGTTTAATATATAAAATTTTATGTTCATGAAATCCTTTAATTTTGCAGAAAAGTTGCATAAATTAGATATGCACCAAGGATTTGTCAAAGGTGTAACTTGGGATCCCGTGGGCGAATTTCTTGCAACCGAGGTAAAACACATGCCTTTGTGCTCTAACTTCATAGCATTGATTTATTGGTATTGATTTTCAAATAAATTTACAGTCAGATGATAAGACTGTCAAAGTTTGGAGAACATCAGATTGGAAAATCCAAGCCGAAATCAGTGAACCGTATGCAAGTTCACCCACAACGACCTTTTACCGTCGGTTAAGGTAAATTTTCTTTTCGCTGATAAAATGTTGGCCTCTTTGAAGTACATTTAATCAATCATTAATTACTAATTTGTTCCCAGTTGGTCTCCGGATGGATCACATGTTGCTACTGCGAATGGTGCACAGGGGCCCGTTCCAGTCGCTGCAATATTTAATAGAGGTGAATGGAAACCTGATGTTTCATTGGTTGGTCATGACTCTGCCATTGAAGTGGTGGTATGTATTAAATGACATCCTTTGCTTTTTTTTTTTTTAAAAAAAAAAATAAAATAATAAATTATACTAATTATACTAATCTAATGATCTAGTCGTTCAATCCAGTCATTTTCATGATACCCGAGAGCGATGATGCTGACCCGGAATCTCCTGAATCTGCAAGTGTTGGCAGCGTATGCGCAGTAGGAAGTCAAGATCACAGTATTTCCGTGTGGGTGACTCGGAACGCGCGACCTTTGTTTGTTTGTCAAAAACCGTTTGATCATAGCGTTTTGGATCTAGCATGGTAAGATTTTAAGCTTTTTATGTTTATGACCCAGTCATAATAATTTGATTTAATGATGTTTAATTTAGGTCACCTGATGGTACACACCTTTACGCTTGTTCGTATGATGGCACAGTGGTGGTCTTACAATTTCTCAATAATGAATTTGGAACACGATT